GTCTAGTTCTATGCATGAATAGTAAAGAAAAAAAAATTATATAAGCCTATCTAAAATTAACTAATAATAATACTACTAACACTAAAGAATCTCAAAAATATGATTATTACAATTTTATAGATACATTGTTCTTAGTGCTTTATCAGATTATTTTGAGTTGATGTAAAATGTTTATAGTAAAGAAAATCACTTTGGTCTTTCCTTAGTATGGATTAAAAAATTAGATAAATAGTAATTTTTCAAATTGTTTTCCTTCTTAAAGTTGTCTGACAGATTTAAGCCGTCAGTTAATTTTCTGATGGCGCATCCTGGCTCAGTAGAAGAAGACGGTCTAAAACGGCGGTTTAATGTTGAGCAGGACCCAACAGTGGTTGCACTTGGTGGAGAAGGTAAGCTATAAAAAGATGAATTGTAGTATACAGGGGCAAATCCAGGATTTGAAGCAATGGGGTTCAAATTTTTCCCAAAAATACCGAAAAGAAAGGGAGGGAAAAATTTTGATTCCTAGATGGTCGGAAATGAGCTTTCCCCGACTTCTGAGGGGGTCTGTTAATGACTTTTAACTTCTTCAAAATTCAAGGTTTTCTCCTCTTCGAAAAGGTCAAGTGATTTTGTCTCTTAGGCCTAAGTGTGTACATATAGAGAAAAAAATAGACAATATATTATTTTATTTCAAAGATCCCATTAAAGAGACCTTGGAATTTTGTCCCTGGTTATAATAAACAATGGTCAAACCAAAATAGTGTTTTTAATTTTATTTAATTGAAGGGTAATTAGGCTAAGGTTAGACTGTCTGATCTGCCTACCTAGTCCTAGGTAGTTTTAACATGCCTTTTGTAGGCCAGGATCCATGCAGTACTGTACACTGGCAGGTCAGTCATGCAGGAATTCAAAATAGAAGGGGCCCACAAATGGAGGTTCTACCACCATAGTTTCGGGCTGGGGTAAAAAAAAATATGATTGTGGCACCTCTAGATGGATGGAAATGGCATTCTCAGACTTTGGATATAAAAGTAGGTGCCTCCCTTGGTTTTTTTCACGTTTCATCACAAGGGGGAGTTCTTACGAACCCATTGAAAACCCCTCCCCCTGGATCCACCACTGGTATAGGAATCATCCATGCTGGTTGTCTTCTGTGGTGAAGGTAACTTATAAGTTGCAACTTTGTGTTGAGATAGACAAAATTGTAGTTGACAAAACATTAATAATTGTGCTTTTATTTATGAAGAGATGTGGCTACTTTTTGTGGTAAAAGTGAGCTTGTAAAGAATAATTTTGATTAGAGGCAACCATTGGTAATTTTTCTTAGTGGCCAAGGTGGTTCAAGCCTGTGTTTGCGGTTCCGGATCTAACTTAACTAAAGTTTAAGGTTGTATTAATAGTGACCAAGATAAAGGCTGTGGTTTAGTTTATATTGGATATAAAGTACTGTAGAAAAATGCAACTTGGAATTATGCGTAGAATAAAAAGTACAGTCAGTTATTAAAACCATTTCATTTTGCAGATTGGACAAAAGGATCTACCAAAACCTTGGCAAGATTCACTAACTCTCAAGTAACACAGGAAAATTTAGAAGCATTCTTGTTGTCACAGACATCAACTAGCATTGCCCTGAATGTGGTATGAAAACATGTGTGAGCATTTAGCACTACAGCGGTTGTACAGTAATAAAGAAAAATAATAATAATAATGATAATAATAATAAGAATAATTTCATCTTATTAGGTGCATGTATCCATCTCTTGGTAGCTGCTCACGGTGCCATTGTCACCTGCAGTGTGTACATGTAGCCTTTTTCTCTGCATTAATACTTTTTTTTAATTAATTTATTTTATTTTAATTATTTATTTATTTATTTTTATTATGTTCAGTTTTATCTTTATATGAAAATACTCATCAGCTTTTACATTAATTAATTAATAAATTTTATTTTAATTATTTATTTATTTTTTATATGTTCAATTTTATCTTTATAAGAAAAATACTCAACAGCTTTTACATTTTGTGTGTATTTTTAGAAGAACATGATTTAAAAGAATACTATATTGCTTCCATAGAAAAATTTCAGAGGGGAGGTGATAGAAGGAGTGAAGAGCTATCAAGCTATTCTAGTTTGTTTCCATGCTCCCTGGGGAGTTGACAACAGTCATTACTTAGATGTTTTCAATCGATCACAAAAGACGTTAACAAATCTTAATGTTAATTTAAGATTTGGCCTGGTGGATCTTCTCACAGATGCTGAAGGTAGTAATAATTGCTTGATTAAAAACAACACACCCAACCTCTTCACAAACACTTCCACACATCTGCTGTCCATGCACAACCTGCCTACTCAAAAGTAGGCTACAAACAGATTTCAGGGAACTTTTGTGTGAGCTACTACAATCGAAAGCCGGCAAGAAATTCATGAAGCAGATAGAGACGGGTGAAGTGGTGTGCCAAAAAATTTGATTGAGTAAGCCACAAGTACGAGCAGGGGAAGGCATAGTTTCTGTAGAAGAGATGGTGATGCTACGGTAAAGTCTCAGGTTGACGCGAGAGGATGCAAACATAAACCATTTTCCTTGAGTGACTTTCAGATCAATACACCGTGAAATTGATATATAGAACTATAATTTAAAGGTGTAAAGTAGTATAATTTGTAGTAAAGTAAAATAATTTTTATATGTTTATAAATATTGATTTAAATGTTTTCTGTGTATTCCAGTTGTTCATCGGTGGGTTGATGCCAGTTATGCAAAATCTGTACCCTTCACAATTTTATTCTGGTTGGCAGAAAATCAGGATGAAACCAAAGGTACGTTTAGTGTTTTGTATCGATACCCTAATCACAATTTCTAGTGTGTATGAAATGTTTATCAAATGCACTTTACAATAATATCCTTTTTCATAGTGACATGCAACAACATATATTTACATTGCTAGTGCTAAGAGGCTATGCATTCCAGAAGGTACTTGGAAGGATTCCACTAGTTGCCAATGTTTATCCCAGATTCAGTGGCGCTAATACATCAATTTCATGACATAAGTGAAAACAAGAAGGACCACATAGAGGCTGTTATTTCCCACCTCTTAACAACGGTAGCACTTAGTTAAACTACAAGTACTATTTAAAAAGGATTCTTTGAAGTTGGTAGTCCATTATAAAAATTAATACTTTAACTCTAACTCTAGGAGCTGTTCGCCAAGCAGTGCTACAGTCGAGTTTTCCAACACCTTGGAACCTAGCTAAATTTATCAAAATGCAGGGGTTACCACTACTAGATACATCAGGCAATGAGTTGGAAGTTTCTGTTCTCTCAGAAAACTCTGATGTTATGGTAATTGACTGTTTTTATTTGTATCTATTGTTTATTAAGTGACAAAATCATAACATAACAAATTCATTTTAATGAGGGAGCATTATATTGTGACGAGAACATGATGCTAGGATGAATTCAGTTGTCTGTGACCGTCCTGTGTTTTCTGCATAGATAAGGCCAAAATCACATTCTAGTACATCAACTAGAACTGTGCATACACAGATGACTGTATGTGATGTAATTGCATCCTAGGTCTTATCGAAAACCTCCGTGTTATGTAAGCCATGGAGGATATAACTTACTTAATATTTAGGTTATTTGATGTAATTTATTTCAATTTTATCATATTAGCAATTATGATTAGAATGAGGTGGGCATTCATTGAATTGGAGCAACAGTAGAATTTTGTTTTACTTTTCAGTTTGGAGTTTTGCAGACTGGAGAAATGTGTTCTAGCCATATTAACACAACCTCAGGTCAAACAACAGCACCAAAGTTCACATCTAAGCCAAAACCAAGTGAAGATAAGATGAAAAAGAACCATAGCGATGTTAAACCAAAAATGAAGGTAGTTTATTTAATACAGTAATTTTTTTACAAATAATAATAAAAATTGAAGTGATAGCTTAGTATCTGCCAAAGATTTCAAAGTATTCTGCTAAAATTGCCTAGTATTTCTTTAATTTTACTTTTATTTCTTGTTGGCTTGCCTTCCACTACCTCATTGTTTTTATTTAGAGGAAATACATATACCCAAGCCTACCCTCTACTTTGCATCCAATATATCATTTCACTGGCAAAGCACAGGGCATAACCAGTGAATGGTTAGCTCTGCTGACTTTCGAGGGTGTTAACAATTTGTCCATCTCTATATTAAAATATTGACCAAAATTTATGTTCATTGGGTGGGGAACAAGTGAGATTCTACCCACAGAACTATGGTATTATTAGTTTTCAATATGTTTTTGCTATGCTGAAGTGCTTTGCTAGAGAAGTCAACAATTGTGTCTTTGACCGTTAACTTATCAAAAGTGCTATAAATTTATGAAAAGGAAATATAAAATCAATTTGAATTGTTTTCTTTTTTTGACTACAGAAAGTAAAGCGAATTAGAACTCTAATCCAGATTAGCAAGAGTAATTGGCACTCTCTAATAGAAAAATCAGAATCATCACCTGGTCCTTTGCCATTGACCAATCAGCAGAGAGTATTTGTGAAGGTCTCGGTTGTTGTTTTTATAAGAGACAAGTGCAGTAACTGTGCCCGCAAACTCACAGTCTTTGAGAAGATCCAAAAAACAGCTGCTTTTATAGGTTAGAGTACACCATAACTGTCACATATTTAATATATAAATACATTTTTTTATTATCATTCTCAGTGAGTGACTTCATCAAGGGTGGAAGTGATTGTCTATAAACTAGGTCTATTACAGAGTTTTTTTAAATTTCTTTTTATTGAGCATTATTTACGTACCACTTTAACATCACAACAAAGCAAAGCACAACAAATTACAGACAAAACCAGAAACAATTTAAACACATCAGAAACAGTGAACTAAGCTAGAAAACAAACAGGTTTCTCTGCAAGTCTGTTCATAGGTCATCTCAGGATTTGAACCCAGGACCCTGGGATTAGAAGGCAACCTTTTTAACCACCAAAGGTGCAGCTCCACTTCATAAAGTTAATATCATGTTAAATTTTTAATTACAATAATTTATGTGTTTTTTTTTTATTCAGATTTAATTTTTCATGCATATGTTTTGTGTTAGAAGTAATTTTTTTTGTCAATTGTATATTATGAGATAATTGTTATAATCTTACAGAAAATTGTATAATATTACCATTTAGGATTAATATGATGTTGTTGATGACAATAAATAAAAATAAATTTTTAAATTCCTATTGCAGAAGGTGCCTCTGTGTACATTATGAATTGTAGTAGCGATACCGAGATGTGTGAACGTCTTAATATCCGTGGCTTTCCAACAGTCTCAGCTTTTCGTTCAGTCAAGGAGCATGGCGTCGAAAACTGTATGTCGAATAAGAAAAACTTGGTCAGAATAGATTACCATGGCTACATAGAGGTAAGCCATTACAGAGAATATATTAAAAAGTATTAATTTATATCAAGGTATAAATGATAATCGTCTCCATAGTATGTTAATAGAGTGCAGCACTAGCTTGGTTGTAAAGATATGAAAAAATCTCATTAAGTTCTTCTTTGGCTAAATATAATTTTAGAATGTCAAAGTCCCTATTGAGACCAGTTTATTAGGGCCCTGGTTCTTAATTAATTTGTATAGAGGGCAAAATTATTTTTGCCTGCAGGAAAACAACGTAACTTTAAATTTTCACTTTTCGAGAAAAATAATTAAAGTTGGCATGTTTGCAACTTGGCAACAAATTGTAGTACCCTCTGAAACCTTCTGAAAGTTTTGCAGGACTATATATCTATAGACATTATGATTATAATGTAAAATTTTAATTTTTGGTTTATTGCAAAGTTAATAACGATATTCACAGATACAGTACATTGTTTTAATTCGGAAACATTTCAGACGCAGTATTTTTTTTAATTGATCACGTCTGTGGCAATCATGTATTATCTAGCATGTGCATACTTCGTTGTCAAGATTATTGATATGAAAACACCATCAACCAGTTGATTTTGCTGTGCCAAACTTCATCACCTCAACAAAGATTTTCAATACCATTTTGAGGCAAAACAATGTATCTTCAACATAGATACGTTGTTTTGCAGCGTTAAATCTTGCAGTTATGTTGTTTTACCATGGAAAAATCACTAGATCTTAAGTTTTGTGCTTAAAGATAGGTGGTGCAATCTCCGAAACAACTCATTGTTGAGACCTGAAATTTTCACATGTAATTCAGAAGTGCTTAATATACAGAGTATTTCCAATTGATATCTGAAAATCGACAAAAAAATGTCAGTAACGTTGTTTGGCCTTGGGACGGCCGTGAAGTCTCAGAAAATTTTATAAGCACCACAGCAATTATTTTGTCATTTAGTGTATGCTGCTTTGTATCTTTAATAGGCTAGTGCCCATTTTCGTTTATTAAATTTATACTGTAAAATAAATCAAAATTGATTAATTTTCAATTTTATTTGTTCACACTACAGGAAAAACAGATTATGGATTGGTTTTCACATGTCTCCATACCTGTAGCAAAATTATCTGACTGGATGAAGCTAGAAGAATCAAAACTAGTGCGTAAGATGGTTTGAACCACATTCAAATAAATGACCCCCTCCAATAGAAGACCACTGCTAGTTCAGAACACTTTTCTGTGGCTAGAAGCTGCTAAAGACCATGGAAAAGTCTTATAAAGAAGTGCTCTACAAGTGGAAGGAGATCTGTATTTGTAGCAAAGACAAGCCAAACCACTCGTCGCAAAAATTGATTTTCAGTTATTAATGCAGGGTTAAACTGTAAGATGAGAGCTATGAAATGGTAAAAGAATCTTTTAAATCTGACATTTCATTATCATTGAAGTTATAGGAGTTTAAACATACAGCTGTGTAAAGAACAAAATTTGAGAGATCAGTTTTTAAAATTTATGATTTGCATGCAGCAACCATCACCAAATCATTAAAAATTGCTGTTTTAACCTTGAAAATTAGGAAAATAACAGCATAGCATGGTACATAGACATATACAGGTTATTCAAGAGATTTTAACAATTTTGACATTCCAGCATGTTTTGGCCATTGTCTCTGAAACAGGATTTGCAATGAGCAACTGGTTTGGCTTGCCTGCGCCACATTTACATTATTTATTATCATGTTTTTCATGTGGTTGTGATGTAGAGCTTGTGGCTTGATGGTTAAATTGCTCCGCTTCTAATCCTAAGTTCATAGGTTAAATTCCTGCACATAATTTTGCTCTCTAACCTCATGGACTTGGCTATGAGCATCATAGTTCCAATGCATGGGGGGGGGGGGACATATAATTCTATCTGATGCTTGAATGAATTCTTTACAGGAAGAAGAAGATGAAGAAGTGCGGGTTATCGCAACCCTGTTACCTCGTCGTCTTTCCCACCAATACCTAAGGTCAGCTTCTGGTCACACTGATTGGTTCCCATACAAGTGCCTTGCTGTAGCCTGTGAACATCTCTTTGGTGTTGCTAAGTGTTACGGTGCCATTAGTAAGAATATTCCAGCCCGTGATTTGAAGTCAGAGGAAGAGGAAGAAGACCTTGTTGTGTCTCAGGTTTTGGATTTTTCTAATTTTTCTTTTCATAACTTTTTTAAATAATTTTTTTTTTATAGAAATCTATATTTTCTAATTAAAATTTATGTTTTCTAATATTAAAAGATTTTACTAATATCAATTTCACTAATCATACAGCAAATAAAACGGGTATGATTTGGTAGTTGGTACACATATGCAAGATTATATTTCATAATAATAATTATAATGATTATGGTATTAATAATTGTGGTATTTACTTAGCACAGGTCCTTGGTCCCTGGTTGATTTCATCATGCATAATGTGTTACTTTCATAGAAAAAAAATTATAAACTATAACACCTTTCTTATGATTAGTATCTACATTTTGATTTTATTGAGTACTTCACTGTTATTTTTAGATCATCATGCAGCGAAAAGATGGCGTAGAAGCACTTATAATGCGTGCTAACACAGCGCTATATCTGACCTTACAAGACGATGCTACACAGAAACTTCATAAATTTCACACCCCACACAGGTACTGAATGAGGATAAATTTTATCAATTAAGAAAATCTAATAACAACATAAATAAATGACAATCATAAAACCTGCGGTGCACCATGTGTAGTAATATAGTTTTTGAGGTAAAACCACTGGTTCAGTGAAATTGCTCTGACCGTCATCATGAGAATGATAAAAGATGACTTCTGTTGGTCTTAAATAGAGATAAATAAATTTATTGGTAGAGTATATAGTTGATGTACACATTGTTTATATAATTATCTTTTAATTCTCCTTATATTTACTTCAACTGTGGCTTTCATTGATTCAATTATATTGTTTCAAATTTTAAACTTGTATTATAAAATATCATGCAAGTGTTTATCTTCCTCGTAGGTATAATATTCGTAGTAACCAACGCTGTGAGGATGATCATAGCCAGTGTACTGAAGTGATCTCATTATTTATTCGTGATCACAGTCGTCTGCCGGTCACTCATTTAACAATGGATTCGTTCCATACATCCACCGGGTAATTTTTTCTACTTCGTTTGCATCAGACAGCTGAGCAAGTAACTTGTCAGTTTAATGGAAATTAATGTAGTATTATATAATGCACCGTAATACATCCACACTATAAAGTGTCATATGATAAATACCTGCGATTTGCCCATATATGGGTGTGATATGAAATCAACATACCCATAATGTGGCACCATATATACAACTGAGTCACATATGGGCAACTGAAAAAACTGTTTTGTTCAAAAAGGAAATTTGTTATGTTGTTATTTTTTCTTTATAATCAACCAATTGAAAATGTAAGGATATCTGTGGTGGATCTGGGTGGTGAGGGGTTGAATAGTGTGGCTAGCCACCCCCTTTGTTTACCGTGAAAAAATAAAATAATGGTCACTCATCTTGTTTGTGTGCTTCTTGTGCACTCTGGTAAAACATACACTTTCTATTTTAAGCTCACTTCTTTTCAGATGCGACATAAGATCGTCTAGCAGTTAGCAGTCTACTAATTCCAAAAAAAATGTCAAATGTGAGGGGTTCCCCTCCCAAACCCCCTCTCTCTCCGCTTTTGGCTTCTCAACTCCCATTATCCACCCCCCCCCCCCTGCTAAATCCTAGATCCGCCACTAAATATGCCTGGTCAGATCTCTTATGCAAATGGCACTGAATGTGATCTAGATCAGATAACCTGTATTTTATGTCATCCCTAAATCCAACTGGATGTACACTCTTCTCAGTCTGTTAGGAGAGGTTGTGTGCACTGTGTACTATTTAAGATACAGTCAAGTATAATAGAGTTGAAGCTTTCTATTGAGTTACATGTATTTTGTTTTGTCTCTTCAAATAGGTTTGCAGTTGATCATGACAACGAGGGCAGTGTTTTCTCATCTGGTCATCCTGTACTCATTGCTTTAGTACACAGAGAAAATATTACATCAGATTCTATGTTTTTGAAGGTAATAATTGTTTCATGAATTCATCATCACTATTTGGAAAGCCACCTGGCAAAACATTTAGGGATGAACTTAAAGTGCCTTACACAATTAAAAACTGCTTTAAACAAAAAGAAAATTTGAAAACTAAACAATAAACTGTCCTAACACTAACCAGTAAAAATTTACCAAAGCATCAAATTAGATAAAAAAACAACGTATCACTGCACCATTCCTGGCAGGAACAGTACTCACACAGATGCTCTAATGATACTGGTAACTCATCTAACCTATCCTATATGATTTTTTTTATTCCATACTGTTGTGTAGCCTCATATTGGTTTATTTATTCCATACTATTGTATAGCTTTCACACTGTGTTGTGTTTCTTTTTTTTGACTGTTGCAGGCCTTGACAGAAACTGCATACACATTTTACAACAAAATGGTGATTACAACTCTAGCAGTTGAAGAATTCCCACAATGGGCAACAAGGTTTGTGCCACATGGTTACCACAGACAGGTTTTTGGTAAGTTCTACTGGTTTATAAAATATTTTATAAAAGTGCTAACATTGGTCGTAAATCTGTACATCTTTTTGGACTGTAAAGTAATCCAGTTGTAAGACAATTTGTGATGTGTTACCCAAAATCTGGACATAGCACATGGGAACATATCATATTTGAGAGCTGGGACCAAAAATTGAAATTGGAAATAATGAAAATAATAAAATATGGTTTGATGCTTAGACTAGCCACACTTCATTAACTGTTAGGGAGTAGAATATTAATTGTTTTTTTTTTTTATTAAGAAACAACAACAATAATTTATTGATAAATTTAGACCTATATAGTACTCAAGTTTTTCACATCTGTGACCCATTGATTTTTTTTTTTCATTAATTTTTCAATAATTTAACAAATAGTTTAAAATTAGTTTGTTTTTTTTTCTTAAACAGAACATGCAAATGTAATAAATGAAGATCTAGTCCCTTCACTTCATGTCTATCCTCGACTATGTATTGTGCATGGCAACAACCACCAGAGGGCAGCCTTCTATCCACATTCTACCCAATTTCAGCTACAGTCTAAACAAGATGGCAGGATCATTACAGAAAAAGAAATTAAAGCATTTGCAAGAGATTTTCTTGATAATCCAGATGTGATGATGGTAAATACTGAGCACTTTTGAAAAGCTGAATTTCAAAAAACATCCTTCAGGGACAGATTGAAAGTGATCTGTTTAAATCATGTTCGTATTTGAATTATTTTGAGCAACATGAACTTTAAACTTAACATTTTAAATTTGTCCATCAATCAATCAATCAAATAAACAGATAACACATGAATAAAATATATAATGATGAAAAAGACAACCAAATAGAAATAATGATAATGTTTAAAATGCGAAAAGATGAAAATAATAATAAATCATGAATCAGTAACTAATATTTTGAATAAGTAAAGAAAAATGTTCATAGCGTACCAGTTTTTGCACTGATTTAATTACACAGTAGGTTTTCCCAAACATGTAGCTAAATGACAAGTAGAATTTGATAAAGTGATGTACAGTATTGAAAAAAAAGTTTAAAATTTCATTTTTTACAAGAGGAGATTTTGCTAACAGTCGAAAAAATAAATTTTCTTTTTTATTTTGTATTTTATTTTATATAGTATTTACCTAAGTGAGATACATCACATGATCATTTTTGTATTTTAACAAAAAAAGAAGATTTGTAATTAAATTAACGTTATGGTCTTAGATGCGCAGCCGTCCTATGGCAAAACAACGTATAACTGCTTTTATATTTTTAAGTTACGTTGTTTTGCCTTGGAATGACCGTGCCATATCTGGCCATGTAAAGCTTAGCTTTCATCAATAAGATATTCACCAATGGTTAATGTAGGCCTACAGAATCTATGTGCACACAAGTTTGCGTGTTAAGTGGATATAATATTTGGTGAGCATAGATGCAGCACAAAGACTGGAATAATGAAGTAAGGTGCTAAAAAAGGTTATGGGTAACTATGTTGGGTGGGCAAAGATATGGTAGATAGGTGACGGAATGGGGGTAATGACGTCAAGTGGGTAAGGAAGGGGGTAATAACGTAGGATGGATAGGATCCATCTCGACCACTTTCTAACTAAATTTAAGTTAACAATTTATATCTTTCTAGAGCTCTGTCCAGATTATCAAATTATTTTTGACAAAAAAACTAATGTATGCCCATATATAGTCATGATGTGCCTATATATGGTCATGATGTGATGTCATCATGACCATATTTAGGCATGTCCAACCATGTTGGTAAATACTATTTGATAGTCTGGACAGGACTTAATAACAGAACCTTGATTCTTGTAGTGCAATGAATATTACCTTGATATAAAAGAGGATATAATAATATTTATGGAAGTATGTATTTTGTAAATATAATTTTGAACATTGGAGTATTAGTAAAGCAATACGTTTAAGGTGATATTGATTTCAAATATTGTTATATAGTTTACCTTTATTTTTATGTTTTGCGTCTTTATTGCACAACATAGCGAAACTAGTTTTTCACATTATTGCACCTGGGTGGACCAATGCCAGCCGTTGATGCATTGCAATAATAATAATAATAATAATAATAATAGAGATCATGAGAGATTGGTATCCAATGTGAACTTGTTTCAGTATTCAAAACCAAACATTAATTGATCATCAAGTATCTAATTCGTTCTCAGATAAAAAAAAAAAAAAAAGCACAAACACACACCCACCCACCCCAGCAACTCTATGCCTACTGTAAAGTGACTAATTCCGAATTACTGATAAAAATTCACTTCAACTGGTCCTCTACTCCCTGTGGTTTCTAGTCTTCTTGAAATCACATATATACGGTACCATTGAACAAACAGAATCAACACAATGTTTTAAAAAACACATATGCCTCTATATTGAAAAAAATATCAATTTTCCACCAAATTTGTTTATGACGTTACAAATCCTGTAAGATCTTTTAAGGACACATAAAATACAGGTATTACATACTGTACTGGCGATCAGGGGTGGCGCCATGATTTACCCGACGGGGGAGGGGGAACATGCCCCGACGAGTGTGAAGATTTCCCCGACGAGGGGAAGATCTCCCCGACGACATAAAAGTGGGCGTAGTCGAGCTTTGCTAATATTTCGAAAGTGGGCTAGGGGGCGAAGCCCCCTGACAATTTTGACAATGGGTTTCAAAGGCTTATTATCGATTTTAGAGTCTACTAATACGTAGAAAATACATATAATAATTTTTTTTTCCACGACGAATTGTTTTTTCTCCCGGACAAGGAGGGGGAAACTCTCTCCGACTGGGAGGAGGGGGAGAGCTCTCCCCGACGGGGACCTACCCTCCCCCGCTGGCGCCACCCCTGGCGATATTTAGTACTACTACTAAAAACCAGCAAAGATTACTTTTGAAAATACGGCGGAGAATGCTGTACACTTCCAACACATACAATGTAAAGGTTTGAACAATTAAAAACAAATTATATCTGTGTCCACGAGATTGTCTCGTTGTGTGGTTTATAGGTTTCATGATACATCTATCCATCTATCTATATATATATATATAAAAGGCAAATTGGGGATTGTATGTCTGGGATTTTCTCTTTTGTTACTGAACCGATTTCAACCAAATTTTCACTCAAATGTTTATTCTGATTGGTTCTTGGCAGGTAATAGACTATGTGGTGTTTTCCAAAGTCGCGTCATTTATTAATAATTAATAGAAAAAACTGATTTAAATTAGTCCCGGCCGGCACTTTTTCACAGTGTCATTTCAGAAGGATGTATAGGCGTAAACAAAGTAGCTCCAGATATTCATGCGTCTTTTAGTGTTTTCTCGCAGATATGAGCGACTATGTCTTTCTCAATATTTATGTTGTTATTATTTTGTATCACTATCATTTTCAATATTTACAATCATCTCCGCAATACAATCCAGTCAATTATATCACACGCGTAGTAATAATAATGGACAGTCACATATCGTGTCTATCCAGGTCTGCTGTGTCACTGTGCCAACAACATAGTGATATAGACCTAGCATAATTATGCTTTTTTAATTTGGCATAATTATGCTTTTTGGCATAATTTAGACCAATTTAGCATCTAGCATATTTGCTGGCATAATTTTAGAAAAAATTAGCATAATTTTGGCCTCAAAGGAAACAAACAAAAACTTTAATCTGAATTAAACCAGCTGTCAATAACCGTGGATACCACATAATAAAAATGAATTCGTCAATCATTGAGTATCCAATAAATCCTATGGTATTCGCACATGCATCTGCCTTTCTGTAGTTTTATTTATGTTTTGTTTTTTTTTTTTTTAACCACACAGTGAAAATGGTTTTGGTCAGGTACTCAATCTTGTCCGGTCCTGTCCTCACTGGAGGACTGTCCGGGAGGCATGCGTCCGGGAGGGAGAAGTGTACTACCGACTACTGAGTTTTAAATTAAGATACTGATACTCGGGCTGATACTTTACTAGGCCAGCCTTCCGCAAACTTTTTACTTCATGGCCTATTTACGATTCCAGGCACCAAGCCGCGGCCCAGCAGCCCAGCCGCGCCAGGGACCAACATACCAAATCCTGACAAGAACTTCTGATCACGAAGCCTCCATGTAGGCCCCCTATATACAATATTTTGACATCATTATCTGTTCTCTCAGTGATAAAATTTTATTGTATACAAATTAAATATTATTTTATTAAATAAATAATACCGTACATTTGTGTTTCCCCACTTTCCCCCCACCCCTCCGACAATCGTTGATTGTTTTTTCTTTACCATAATTCAACCAATCAGCCACAAACGTCATAGCAGGGCCGTAGCCACGAGAAGTGAAATGGTCAGGTTGCGAGCGAAGCGCGAGCACTGATGATTGGGGCTAGGGGGCCGCCAAGGACCTAGGTCGGGGTTCCGGGGCCATTAAATTGTAATATTATTGTAAACCATTAGGCCTAAACTGTAATATTATTAACATTAAAGTCATTGACTGTAATATAAACTGTAATATTATTAACTAAGACCAATCAACACACATAACATAAAACATGTACATCAAAATTATTATGTTTAATCTTTCCTCGTCGGTACTTGCATAAAACGTGATTTGGATCTAACATGATGATATTAACAAACAATCGAAATTCTCTGTACAATATTATGCTAAACATTTACAGCGTGGACTTCTTTATGTTGTGGTCATATTAGACTGTAATATTTTTATTAAAGAAGTCCATTCAACGAACAACATAAAACATATAGGCCTACATATCAAAGTTATTAGATTAAAGTTCTCATGTCGGTGCATGCATAACACGTAGTTTCCTAAAATTTGGATATCTGAGATTGACAGACAAAATTCTCTATACTATATACAGTATACTAATTTAACGAGTGGACTTCCTTGATTTAAGGAAATATATATGTATATTGAGATACGCAAAGTTTAGAGAGGACTTCCTTATGTTGTGGTCATAATATTAGACTGTATTAATAGGACTATCATTAAAAACCATTCAACATAAAACATAGGTCTATCAAAATTATTAAGTTAAACTTTCTACTTCGGTGCATGAATATTGTAATATTACGTATGGCAGTTCGCCATGTAATGCTCAAGTTGTTGTGCCCGATTCTAGTGTATGTTCCGGATGCAAAGACTGGATCTTCACTATGATTGTAGTGATATGACAACAAGCGAGATGGTTTACTTTAAATAACTGAACTGACTACATCTCTTCTGGTTATAATGCAAAGCGTTTATTCACACTGCGTGATATATACAATATATACAAGTAAGATTGTGAGACGTAGTGTTTCCTTCGAGGTATCAGAAGGAAGTCTTCTCTAGATAACTAATACTTTACTTTTCATACAAGCTTGGGGGTGTGGTAGACTTTCTGTGATTGGTTGAAAGATATCACCTTATTCTAATCATTTGACTATTACATCATTTTGGGGAGTTTCTATTGGTCAGATAATATAAAAACTTTTGGGGTAGAACTTAACTTATATTTAGTAACGAGCTGTCTCTCAATCGAGCTTATTTTATAAATCAAATGTAAGGAGTTGACCACTTGGGTTGGGCTTTTTGTCATGAACAGTGGCTATTGTCCTGTCAAAGACTTCATATATAATAATTAGGGAGACGTTTAACAGATGCCCACTGAATTAGTCAGGTAATGGGGTAGTGAGGTAAAGTTCAGTCCAATGGTTTTATTGATTTGGCCTATATTCGTAAGTTATCTTAATTCTATATAACAATATAACGTAATTTTGGGATAGGCCTATATGAGATTTACATAACATTTGAGAATGTACTGAATATAAAATCTTAAATATTTTACATTTTAATCAGCGATCTATCAGAAATACGAGGGTTGGTTATACTGTAAAGCTTTCAGAACCCCTGCAATACTAAAACTGGGATCCAACAGGCAGTGAATATTCCATTTTGATTTAGTGTAGATGTTTTTTACATATTTATATTTTATTTGAATTCTTTTTATTTTGTATGATTCATATGTTATATTTTCCACAGACAGATAAATGAATGCCTGAACTCATATTTTATGGGTTTCATATTACTTTCTATACAAAACAGATATCATAAATCCTCTATTGTCCGACTGTGTGCATTGAAAATTTGACGACGACGACAATGTCTCCAAATTCCCAACCATAACTTAGGACGGGCCTCGCTTGACACTTCACATCAAAGAGCCTGTTAATTAATCTTGCACAGCTTCATCATCATCTTCTTCATCATCATAATTATTAATTGTCCATAGCAAAGTAGGGAAAAACTATAAATGAGTGTATTCAATAATAGACGTCTCATAATGCACGAAGTGTATTTCAAAGCACCTAAAAAACAAAAACTTTTCGAATATCTAAAAATTTATCTTCCAGCAAAAAAACAAGCTAGCTCTCTTCTCATGACCCTCCCAATATGGGAACCCATCTGTGCGATAGCCAGGGTAAACTCTAGTAATGATATTGAAGTAGTGTGGGAGCGGTTGGTGCAGTGATTGTGACATGTGGTTCAAACCAAGTTTCGGTGTACGTAGTATCTCGCTTTTTGCCTTGGGCAAGGTACCTAAAAAACAAGACTATCATTTCTACACAAAATTTGTCTTTAAAATGACGAACAATGTTGCATTTAATGTATTTGAATATTACACAATATTGCAAATATATCACTGTCGTCGGTAAAAATGGTATTTCCTTTCATTAAGACAAGACGTCACGGATACAATTTTCATGATACACATAATCACTAGGCCCACTCGCATATTTTATTGTGCTGTTACTCAGCTTTACAAGCACTTCGATCGTGGTCAAGAAATTTAGAGTCGTAGGACGAAGTCTTGAAGCATAACGCCGCCTGGCTGTCACACTCACAAATCTCAAGTGCGCACTTCCTGTGAGATGGATGGTTGGTAGAGCCTTCTATATAAGAAAAGAAAAATAATCATTAAAATAAATATTCAAGATTTTTGACTTAGATTTCATACTGTTATGTACCCTTGATATAACTTGGAAATGGAAC